GCTGTTATAAATTCACTGTAAACCACGGCTTCACGGGGCTTATTGCTTTATTCGCGTCACTCCACACAGTTTCTATGTGTCGAGCATTGAACACAGTGTTGCCAAGTCTGTGGAATTGGGCTACTCCTACTCTGTTTCCGCGGGGGGTTTTCATGTCCACGGGTTTAAGCGACCACAATAACGTGATATTTAGCCCCTAAAATGCGAATTTTACCAGGGTAACCCCGCAATAAACCATGCATTTTACCCCTCGAAACACGATTGGGCTAGTGTTTTGAGTAACACTTGGGTGGGTTTTGTTGTGAAAACCTAGCAACCCTGGTTAAAGGTTTCTCCAGCGGGTCAGTTTGAGCTGGTCAGCGCTGGTAGCTGCTCGCAGTGACCGTCAGTATCTGTTCCTGCACCTTCTCCGTGATGCCTCCGCTGTGTTTGGTCTGGATGCCGCAGGTCCCCGTGCTTTCCTCGCTGTCCGTGTCTCCGTAACAGCTGGAGCCCGAGGAGACCGTCACACAGCCCGAGGAGTCTCTGTCCTCACGCTGACCGCTCGTCTGGTCCTTCAGCAGCTGCATCAGGAAGCTGATGTACTTCATGGCCAGCCGCAGGATCTCGTTCTTGCTGAGCTTCTTGTCAGGCGGGTGGGTCGGGATGAGTTTGCGGAGCTCGGAGAAAGCTCCGTTTACGTTCTGCTGCCGCCAGCGCTCGCGGCTGTTAGTGAAGACACGCCGAGCCATCTTCTGAGGAGGACCTGAAGGAAACCACACAGCTGAGCGTTCACCACGATGCTGAACCAAGGATGAAGAAGAGTGTGAAAACTAAACAACATGCGTCTCCTAGGCTTGTCAAAAATACCGACTGCTGAGATCGTGAAAATGTGACGACAGCAGCATCTCCCGCGAGCATGTTGAGTGGATTCTTACAGTTGTTCTCAGTCGCTTTGGTGCATTTCTCAGATTCTCAAAACGACTTCATCATCCAGTCACTTGTGCACATCATAAGAGCAGTTTCTCATTCTTTTGAACAAGCTGCGATTGCTTTGGAGCATTCATGAAGTTGATTATGTACATTTGTCTGCGGTTTCCTACATCATCAGTTGCTAATGTCATGTTGCTCAAAAAAATTTATTATATAGTTCCTTCTCTGTGTCAAAAAATTCCAAAAAATCTAAATATTGAGAAAATCATCTTTAAAGTTGTTCAAATGAAGTTCTTAGCAATGCATATTACTAATCAAACATTAAGTTTTGATATATTTACGGTAGGAAATTTACAAAATATCTTCATGGAACATGATCTTTACTTAATATCCTAATGATTTTTGGCATAAAAGAAAAATGTATCATTTTGACCCATACAATGTATTGTTGGCTATTGCTACAAATATACCCCAGCGACTTAACACTGCTTTTGTGCTCCAGGGACACATTTCTTTTACTTTTCTATATCACAATGATGTTGTAATGTTTTTTTTTGTCAGAACACTAGTAAAAAAGTGTAACTGTGAATCCTATCCAGTCTCTTTCAATCAGTATCCCACATACAGTAATGTGCACATTTGTACTTCTGAAATGGATATATAGCATGCATAAGTGCAGCCTTCAGCATTTCAGTACAGTAACTGTGATCCAAACTGCTCTCACATCACGTAATACTACCAGAGTGCACTGTTATATTGACAACATCTCGTTTGTGAACAATGACACAAGGCCTTTTCATTCTGATGGCACTGTTCATTGACATAAATACTTGCTTTTGAGAGATGAACTAAAGATTTTGAGTAAGTTACAGGCTTTTGCAGGTAATCCATTGTGTGCTGCTGTTTGTACGAATTGTTTTGAGAAATGCACATACTTCTTTGCAAATATTAAGGATGATTCGAGAAATGCACCAAAGCCACTGCGTTCACGTGCTCGACAGAAATGTCTGATTGTGCATTGAGCGCGTGAACTCAACGGCCAATCAGAGGTGTTTGTGGGAAATGCTGATATCGTCACATTTTTTTAAAATTCAGTACCGAAGTCAGTAGTTTTGACAGCCCTAGTGTCTCCTCACAAAACACCCACAGATGAAACGACGTACCGTCACTGAGCTCCAGTTCAAAGTGTGTGGACGGCCGTCTCTTCATACGAGCGTTCCCGAAGATCCCAAAGCTTCCCGATGGTCCGAGGAAAGAGCTGAGAGCAACATGAGGAGATGAAGGAGGAAAAGAAATCTATAAAAGCAATCCTGAGTTTTTGATGAGCGTCTGCCACTGATTGGACAAACGTGACGGTCAGCGCTCTGTCCTCATTACAGCACACAGCTCAGATAGATCTGACTTCATTCTGTCTGCGGCGCTTCGAGACTAAACCCAGACTTTTGAGTAAGTTACAGGCTTTTGCAGGTAATCCATTGTGTGCTGCTGTTTGTACGAATTGTTTTGAGAAATGCACATACTTCTTTGCAAATATTAAGGATGATTCGAGAAATGCACCAAAGCCACTGCGTTCACGTGCTCGACAGAAATGTCTGATTGTGCATTGAGCGCGTGAACTCAACGGCCAATCAGAGGTGTTTGTGGGAAATGCTGATATCGTCACATTTTTTTAAAATTCAGTACCGAAGTCAGTAGTTTTGACAGCCCTAGTGTCTCCTCACAAAACACCCACAGATGAAACGACGTACCGTCACTGAGCTCCAGTTCAAAGTGTGTGGACGGCCGTCTCTTCATACGAGCGTTCCCGAAGATCCCAAAGCTTCCCGATGGTCCGAGGAAAGAGCTGAGAGCAACATGAGGAGATGAAGGAGGAAAAGAAATCTATAAAAGCAATCCTGAGTTTTTGATGAGCGTCTGCCACTGATTGGACAAACGTGACGGTCAGCGCTCTGTCCTCATTACAGCACACAGCTCAGATAGATCTGACTTCATTCTGTCTGCGGCGCTTCGAGACTAAACCCAGACTAAAAGAGGTGATATATAGTGTAAACACCTATAGTGTTTGTGCTCCAGACATGAAGGACTCCTCAAGTCATGTGTGTTGTTGAGGAGATGGTGCTGCTACTTCACGAACTGATCCCTGATCAGATGCACCATTTTCACTTGTTGCACAAGAAAACAGCTGAAGAACCCTAAACCAACCAGGTTTTAACAACAGGATATCCTAGAGACCACCTATAAACCTCACAGCATCACTCAGTCAGACTCTAACCAACCCTAACAACCAGATCTGGGTAGTAACTGATTACATGTGATCTGGATTACGTCATCAGATTACAAAAATTAGATTAAATTACATTTTAAAATACTCATAATCAGACTACAGTTATTTTTGATTGATTACATATTATCCACTCAATAGCAGTAAATTAGCTATTGATAATCCTAATTCTTCTTTTAACATTTTTAAAGATTTGTGTAATTTCTTATTCATATGTAATGCAGGGAATCCCAAACATTTTTTGTCAGCAGAACCAGTTTCACCAAATATATTTACTTAAAGTACCCCTAAGATTTTAAAATAAATATTGTATTATTTTGTGAAACCTTGCTATGTATATGGAATAAGAACCCTAAACCAACCAGGTTTTAACAACAGGATATCCTAGAGACCACCTATAAACCTCACAGCATCACTCAGTCAGACTCTAACCAACCCTAACAACCAGATCTGGGTAGTAACTGATTACATGTGATCTGGATTACGTCATCAGATTCCAAAAATTAGATTAAATTACATTTTAAAATACTCATAATCAGACTACAGTTATTTTTGATTGATTACATATTATCCACTCAATAGCAGTAAATTAGCTATTGATAATCCTAATTCTTCTTTTAACATTTTTAAAGATTTGTGTAATTTCTTATTCATATGTAATGCAGGGAATCCCAAACATTTTTTGTCAGCAGAACCAGTTTCACCAAATATATTTACTTAAAGTACCCCTAAGATTTTAAAATAAATATTGTATTATTTTGTGAAACCTTGCTATGTATATGGAATAACCGTTTTATAAAAGCAATAAGCCCCGTGAAGCCGTGGTTTACAGTGAATTTATAACAGCTAAGGGGGTTTTACTCCGCTTCGTGTCGTACCTAACAACAGCCCTTAGCTGTTATAAATTCACTGTAAACCACGGCTTCACGGGGCTTATTGCTTTAGTAAGTACCTGCTGATGAAGGGGTGCGTCGGCAGGAGGGCCGGAGGCAGCAGGGACAGGCGCAGCATGGAGAGCGCAGGCAGCGGCGGTTTGCTGTGAGCCAGGCTGATGACCGGGATGTTGGGCGGGAGGGACGGCGAGGAGGCGGGGGCTTATTGCTTGCTTTAGTAACTGCTGATGAAGGGGTGCGTCGGCAGGAGGGCCGGAGGCAGCAGGGACAGGCGCAGCATGGAGAGCGCAGGCAGCGGCGGTTTGCTGTGAGCCAGGCTGATGACCGGGATGTTGGGCGGGAGGGACGGCGAG